TCTCCTCCTCCTCCATCTCCTCCTCCTCCTCCATCTCCTCCTCCTCCCTCCCTCCCTCCTCCTCTCTCTCTCTTTCTCCCTCTCCCTTTCCATAATCGCTCTGTCTCTCTCTCTGTAGGTTTTCAAATTCAGCTACAACAAACTGCGCGTGATCACGAGACAAACCTTCCAGGGCCTGTCCAACTTAATGCGGCTCCACGTGGACCACAACAAGATCGAGTTCATCCACCCGCAGGCTTTCCAGGGCCTGCTGTCCCTGCGGCTGCTCCATCTGGAAGGAAACCAACTCCAGCAGCTGCACCCGGGGACATTCTCCACCTTCACCCTCCTGGACCACTTCCGACTGTCCACCCTCCGGCACCTGTACCTGGCGGAGAACATGATGCAGAGGCTCCCAGGGGGCATCCTGCAGAGCATGCCGCTGCTGGAGAATCTGTACCTGCACGGAAACCCCTGGGCCTGCGATTGCGAGATGAAGTGGTTCCTGGACTGGACCCTCCGATCCAAAGGTACAGAACAGGTGCCGTGGTCCAAGCTCTTCCAGTTGCTTCCTTGTTATTGCACTGGGTGAAGTCAGCCCTGAGCTGGTGAGGCAGGAAACGCAAGTGTTGAGGCCACCACTTTACAGGGGAAAACCCTGCCCCATCTGCAAGCATACCCAGCCTGCTGTCCTTTGGCTTGGTGAGAAGCAGTTGGATCGCAGCCAGGGACGGGCTCTGCAGTCTCGGGGGCCGGATGAGGAGGCCGGGCTGGGAAGGGGCTGGGACGCCCTGTCCCTGGAGCTCGTGTGGAAGGTGCACAGGGAGGAGCAGGTGGGATGTAGACAGGTGGGGCATCTCCAGGGATGGGCAGAGGCAGCTGATACAGGGCCAGGGCAACGGCTCGCAGGTGGGGGCTGCCTGGCTCCAAACGGGAACGAATCCTTCATCCACTTCCATCTCCTCCTGTCTTCTCTCCATTCCTTCCTTCCATTTCCTTCTACCCTTCCTCCCTCCTTTCCTTCCTTCCCCCCTTCCTTCCCCTAGCTCCCCACCAGTGGTAGGGTCTCATCCCCACACCCTCAATATCCAGTGGAGCACGAAGATCCATCTGGAAGTTTCTTTCCCAGCAGCTGCTCAGCACCCCAAAAAGGAACCGTGACATTCTCTGCCTCAATGCCCGATTCTCAGCGGTGTGCTGGTGTGTGCACGCGTGTGCATGTGTGTGTCTGTGTGCATGTGTGTGCATGCTGGTGCATTCACGCATGTGCATGCTGGTGTGTTTGTGCGTGTGCATGCTGGCGTGTTCATGTGTGTGCATGCATGTGTCTGTGGGCACGTGTGTACATGCTGATGTGTGCACATGTGTACACGTGGGTGTTTTTGTGCGTGTGCACACTGCTGTGTGCACACTGATGTGTGCATGCATGTGCAGCTCTGTGTTTATGCATGTGCACGTGGGTGTCTGTGGGCACGCATGTGTATTGCAGCGTGTGCATGTGTGCTTGTATGACAGTGCAGCCACCCCTTGGGGGTCATCAGGAATTTGCTTCAGAACTCAGATGCCGAAACCCACAGGCGCGCTTCCTTTCATTTTTACTTTTGTGAGTCTACGTCTGCAGTGCACAAGGACGCCTTCCCTCCTGTGGAGCTGGCGCACACATGGAGCTTAGCTTCATGCGTTCTTCACCCCTTTCCCCCTACGATTCCCTTCCTCCAACCACGGGTCCTTTTCTCACTGGCAAAAAGCTCTATTTCCGTTTTTTTCAATTCCTTTCTTACCCTCTCCCTGCCCTCCGTCCATCTGGTGACTCCCTTCCCCTTTGACGGATGTCTATCTCCCCACTTCCTGCCATGTGTCTGTAAGTTGGCTCTTTGTATGTGTGTGTGTGGGGGGGTGGGGCTTCTCCTACTAAGTCTCTTCTCCAACCTTGCTGTTCTTCTTGGGCCAGTTTTTCTCACTTATTCCCCCTGGAAGCAGAAAGCAAGGGGACATTCGATCATGCTAGGCATCTACTGCTTCCCTTGGAGGAGCTTACAATACCACGTGCAACCCAAATGCTGTGGAAACCTTTGTTAGGCAGGGTTGTTTGAGGAACCCTATCAAGCCAGAAAATGGCTGTACGTGTTCAGTTCAGACACAGTTATTTTCATGAATTGTTTTCTATTTCCCTCCAAATACTTCTCTGTGGTTCCTTCTTCTGCATCTCCTCCTCCTCCATCTCCTCCTGCATTTCTTCCTCCTCCATCTCCTCCTCCATCTCCTCCTCCTCCATCTCCTCCTCCATCTCCTCCTCCTCCATCTCCTCCTCCATCTCCTCCTCCATCTCCTCCTCCTCCATCTCCTCCTCCATCTCCTCCTCCTCCATCTCCTCCTCCATCTCCTCCTCCTCTTCCTCCTCCATCTCCTCCATCTCCTCTTCTTCCTCCTCCATCTCCTCCTCCATCTCCTCCATCTCCTCCTCCATCTCCTCCATCTCCTCCTCCATCTCTTCCTCCATCTCCTCCTCCTCCTCCATTTCCTCCTCTTCCATCTCCTCCTCCTCCATCTCCTCCTCCATCTCCTCCTCCTCCTCCATCTCCTCCTCCTCCATCTCCTCCTCCTCCATCTCCTCCTCCA